TAGGGAAAACCCAAGTAAGTTTTGGAAATATCAATAGTCTTGTCACCCTGGAAAAAATTTTTACAGTTAAAAGTCTAAAATACAATATTATTTATCTTGTAGTGTTCCTCTGCTTACTCTCGCCCATGCTTCTTCTATGAGGCATTGAACTTCCATATCATAAGTATGCCAATCATCTGAATCACCTGCCCATTCCCACTTGGCGCCTTTGCCGGCCGGTGAGCCAGGTAAATAAAATCTTCTCCTTACATTGTACGTCTCGTCGCCGTCGTCACTGCATTGTGTCTTGGTCCTCAAGTTTATGTAATACCTAATTTTCAAACAATTTCATATAATGTTTCAAAGTTCAAAGATTGAATTACAGAATGCATAATCTATTTTATCATATTAGATTTTAACAATTAACATTATTGATCAAAATTGTTATTAATTACGTTAAACAAGTTATTAATTGCATTAATAAAATTACATTAAACAAAAAAAATTATACCTTTATTGTATACATTATTGTATATATGGTCTTTTTTAGGATAATTATATAAATTTAAATTTCTGTAACTTTATTAAAATATTCAGCAAAAAGATTAATTATTTCTCTCTGTTTTTTATTAAATATAAATAGAAATAAATAATAAATATTTATATTATACTTTCTTCCAACAAAATAATTTTGGAGCAAACCAAACTAGATAGATAAATAATGGAGAATGGAAATATTTATATTATACTTTCTTCCAACAAAATAATTTTGGAGCAAACCAAACTAGATAGATAAATAATGGAGAATGGAAATATTTATATTATACTTTCTTCCAACAAAATAATTTTGGAGCAAACCAAACTAGATAGATAAATAATGGAGAATGGAAATATTTATATTATACTTTCTTCCAACAAAATAATTTTGGAGCAAACCAAACTAGATAGATAAATAATGGAGAATGGAAATATTTATATTATACTTTCTTCCAACAAAATAATTTTGGAGCAAACCAAACTAGATAGATAAATAATGGAGAATGGAAATATTTATATTATACTTTCTTCCAACAAAATAATTTTGGAGCAAACCAAACTAGATAGATAAATAATGGAGAATGGAAATATTTATATTATACTTTCTTCCAACAAAATAATTTTGGAGCAAACCAAACTAGATAGATAAATAATGGAGAATGGAAATATTTATATTATACTTTCTTCCAACAAAATAATTTTGGAGCAAACCAAACTAGATAGATAAATAATGGAGGAATTGTCAAGGAGTTGACAATCATTAAACTATCAAGATCAATTGGACATTAAATAAGATCCGCGCATCACATTTCTCGCGCTTTCTCTTTCTCTCTCCCCAAGACCCAAACATACACCTGCCTCATCTTGAACGCGCAAAAATGCAAGGCATTGCAATTATGACGGACAAACGCATGATATACACGCGATCATTTGTCGCTTATCCCAACCTGTCAAGGGTGGGATCCGCGTCGTTGAGGAGCACCCGCGTAAGTTTCTTGTAATGGGCCCGCTCGAGATGCTGGGACACAGCCGGACTGTAGGGCCTCCATCGTCCGTGACGATTCTCCCACTCCCACACGACCACCGCGTGTCCGTGCTCCTGCCCCTGGGCGCTCATCCTCTTCTCATCCCCCTCCGCCCGCTCACCGACGTTCCCTCCCTGTGGAATTTCACACGCACGCGCGACATACACTTGCAGCGTAGCGGGAGCGTGGGAACATTTTCGACTTTTCCCACGGTCGACGATTCCGCGTCATCGTCGACGTCGGCGACGACGACGACGACGGATATGTCCCTCCCTCGCTCGCGGGATTAATTCTCTCACGAAATTTCGCGCGACCTCGCAAAATCTCGAAACGTGTTGACGAAAAATCCGCTATTTCCTCTCATCAAGAGAGGTACAACGTAGTACACACGCTCGTCAAAGACGCACACTGACCACTGATGCACACGCGCCGCGAGACGCAAGAGGGATGCCGAGAATCGAGGATACGGATACGATACGCGGCAGATGCGCGATAACCATAGACTTAGAATAGATCGGCCTCTATCGTGAGAGGCAGCGTGGAAATATGTAAAGGACAGAAATACCATTGTGGGGATTGCTGTCCTTTATATATTGCCACGCTGCCTGTCACGGCAGGAGCCACTCTATAGTATGACTCTAGTTTATGACTAAGACAGGAGGGAGAGGGGAGCTCGGTAGATACCCGTCAGCTGACGAGGATGCCTCGAAGATGTCTACTAGTTAGCAGCGAACGAGGACGACGACGACGACGACGAGGAGAAACGTAGGTGTCCGGAGGGTTGTTCGGGCCCTACGGGGGTAAGAGACGATCACAGATTCAAGGATGTTCTGTGCGGAGGGTAGCTCGTCGTCGAAGGGCAGTTTCCTGCAGCAAAAGAAGGCCGCGCGCGAGGATCGAGCTCACGAGAAGCGCAGGGAGGCCGCGGCCACCCTGATCCAGGCCCATATTCGGGGTTGGCTGGCACGCGTCCGGTTCACCAAACGGATTCTGTAAGTCCAAAACGACGATGAAAGTAGGATTTTTCTACAGAAAGTGGTTTTTGAGAGTAAACTGTCAATAAGTATATGTATACGATTGGATGAATGTGTGTGTGTAAGCCAGTGTTTACATACAAAAGAGAGCTCGTGTATCTTCGGGTGTAAATAAAGATTGTTGACAACCAGTCTGATTAACAGAATTCTAAATAAAGGATAAATAAAGGACTAAATTAAATTACTATGCTATATAGAGGATGTTTCAGAAGGAATTATATATTGGATTCTGTCTCTGCAAATATCATTACAGGAAAAGATGCTTTATTAATACATAATTTTCAGTTTATATATTTGTGGGTGATTCATCGGTATTTTTTTGATAAATATGTATAAATTTAAAATAAGTTCATATATCATAAGTGTATTGCAAAAATTATATAATATAGATTATTATATGAACTTAATTAATATTGTATAGAATAACTCTGTGCGAAAATTGCGTAGTTATCTTTGTTTATCTTGCAATGTAAACAGATATTATTGATAAAGTCATCAGATTAGCAGAACTCCAGACAAAGGCTTATCTTATGCTTAACTTTGAGATTTTATATTATTAATATTTTATTTATATATATATTAATATAAGATGCATTATTTTCTTTGTGACTAGCTATTTCAATAAATAAATTCGAATTAAATTTATATCTGTTGTAAAAATTTAACTATATAGATTAGCATAAAAAAGAAATCAGTATCATAAAACATTTTATGTAAAATTTGCACAATTATCACATAGTTATTTTAATTTTTAGAGAAGAATTTGATAATGATTTTCTCGATGACACCGGTACCGACAGCACAACAATTGAGTTAATACCTGCTCTTGAGGTGTACAGAATTATTTCTAGATTTTTGCTAATTTATAAGAAAGAAAGGGATCAAGAGAGAATAGAAAGAGTATGTAGGTGAGTATATATAATGTAATTTCTCCAAAAGACATTCAGAGTACGATTTAACCAAAACAATCTTTTAGATACCTCGTGTTGACGCTTGATTCCGAATCTCCAAAGATATCCTATGTCGGAGTGGCGTTCAACAAAGATCACTACATATCATGGATATCACAAATGAAGACAGTTCTATACCACTGCCTATCTGGCTTGGACAGTCTGAAGCCAGAGAGAGTATCAGACCACAAATCTATATTGCTGCGACTGCATACTCTGGTGAGTTTTACATCACCAGGAACGTGGGCCATACAGAAGGTGAAGGGCATGGACCAGTTGAAGACAGGCATGAGTCAGCTGTGTGCAAACATAATGGGACATTTAGTTAATAATGGATTTTATGGTATTATGCAGGTAACAATGATAACAGAGAGATAAGACAGGGCTTTTTGATAGTCTGAGTATTTTTTTAACAATTCCAAGTTACTTCATTTTTATATTTCAGGCTTTGTTAATGAAGGGATTGGGTAGAGCAAAAATCGCTCTGAAACCAGTTACACTTTCAGCAGCGGTCACCTTGACACTAAGACCACTGATCTCTTCGCAAATGTCTGACAAACTGGTGTCCTTGTTTCTAATTAACATCTTTAGCGTGCCAGCTCTGGTCTATCACTTGAATATTTTATCACCAGAGGTAGAAAAAAAAAAAATATTTTCAAGCTTTATTACATTATATTTTTCCTCTAATCTAAATTTGTAAAATATTTTTGATGCTGTATTTACAGTGCATTTCATCGTTCATAACGAACAATCTGTTTGGAAGAAGTTTAGAGTTGTTAAATTCCGAACAGAATTTAAGGATCGTTTTTAACGCTCTGGAAGGCAGTTATGCGCTTTGTTTGCTTGCTAATTTGATACAGTTGGCCAACATTGAAAGAGAAGAGGTACTGAGAGAAATCTGTTTTCCTTCTTTTACGGTAAGCTATTTTAGCATTATGCAATATATCGACATTCTGATTTTTTATATACTTCACGAATCTTTTACAGTTTGTTGTGACAAGGATGCTGGAAGCGTGTCAACAATATGTAGTTGCAAAACGAAGTAATTTGACACACTGGCATCCTGTATTAGGTTGGTTCGCACAAACAATCGACACTTCGTTACAGGATGCGACCCCTTCGGTAAAATTACAACTTGCTTGTCTCTGGACTGGCAGGATCGTTACACATTTAATCGGTGAGAGTTACTAATTTCAGAACTCCGATATTCTTATTGCAATAAGTTATTTAAATTCACGTACAGTATTCGAACCAACAGAAATCATCAATTATATTATTTCATACAGCTGTAATATAATTATCTATTTGATCTGTATCACAATTATTACATTGTACACGAATATTACTATATATATTACGAATATTATTATATTATCTCTCTCGTGTTGTTATTATATTATCTACCTTAGAATTTTATTATATTATCTAGTTTTTATTTACATTTGTTCTTTATCCACTTTTTGCTCTCTTTTCAGAGCAGCCACTAACCGAATTTGTCGAGAAAGAGGTACCACCTCCGGTAGAGCAGCAAAGTACCTCTTCCTTGGGCGCCAATATCTTTCGGCGTGCTTTCCTGGAGGCTCGCACTAACAGAAACAACAGCACTAAAAATTATAGGAAACTAGGCAGTCCGGACGCCACCAAGATAGCCTTGATCTGTTCACTGTACCAAACTGCACTGCATACACTCACGCAAATGAAAATCGAAATACTGACCGGTATGTATTATAGATTATTGTGTACAGTCGCACGTGCGAATGACGTTTTGACTAATGGTATGTACGCACGCGAAAACAGGTCTCTGCTATCAAGGCAAAATTCTCTACCATATGTGGTTATTTCTGACCACACTGGGACCGCACTGTGGATTGAAGGCATTTCTAGACCTCTTGGCTGCCAACACTAAGTGCACGGCGCCCGAATTCCAGATGTTGATATTGTTCGCCGACTGTATGACGCATTACGTTACGTAAGCGAAAATTTCTTTCCAAGAATTTGATTAAATGCTGTTCTGCTCGGATTCATAAGAAACGCCGATTTCTCGATTTCTCCAATTTCAGCATTCTCGATGACATGGAGATGTATGAGCAGCAAGATCCCTTCAAACTCACGGACTTCATCACCATGTCATACTTCTTAAATCAATTCTTGTATAAAGCAGTTCTCTCTAATTTATTCGGTAAGATTTATGGTCACAAATTTTGTATAAATTTAATTTGATAAGTATTTATATAATTTTATTCAGCAAAAAAAGTTTCTAATGTGAACTAATGCGTTTAATTTAATTAAACTCAATATTCGAAAACAAACTCTTCCATATTAATTATTAAAAGAAAGACGGAAAGATACGATTAAAATGGAAAGATGCTATATGTTACATGAGCAGACTTCAAAATTTTGGATGTTATAGATGTGAAATCGGTGTCTAGCAATCCCCTGTTCATCTCGCTTTACATTCTCTTAATGGCGATCTATCGACGCGATTGTCGCAGAACGTTCTGCCCGGAAGGTCACTGGTTGGCCAAGTTAAGTATTTTGGCTTACTTTAAATATAAGTAACTTTTGTATGTGTCATGTAATTTCGAAAAAATGGCGGAAAGAAAATATAATTGCATGATTTTTTCTTAAAATAGGAAGTACGAGTGTCCGGTTTCTTGGCTGATTTGGAGAAGGGTCGACGCGGCGCGGCACTTTTACTCTCAAAAATGCCCCACGTCATCCCCCATTCCGAGCGAGTTGTATTATTTCGCAAGCACATAGCCGATGAGAAAGCGGTGATGGGTTTGACCGAGAGTGCTTGTAATAGTCCGCCGACTACGCTCATTGTTGTACACAGGTCTTTTTTGACAGATTTTTACGGTATAAAAATATTTTCAAAGATTAGAAGATCTCCAAAAAAATTTTTTTACTTGGTCGAATTTTTGTTGAAAATTATATACATATGAAAAAAAATTGTTTCCTCAATGTAGAAACGATTCTTCGCACACATTACCACTCTCTTCAATTATTTTAAATTGCTACTTACTTGATATATTGTTTTTTTATGTTGTAGAACACGTATAGTAGAGGATGGATACAGACAATTGGCCATGTTGCCATCACAAGCGTTGAAAGGCGTGATTAGGGTACGTTTCGTGAACGAGCAAGGTTTGGCCGAAGCCGGCATTGATCAGGACGGAGTCTTCAAGGAGTTCCTGGAAGAGACAATAAAGCGAGTATTTGATCCGTCCTTGAATTTGTTCAGAGCTACCAGCGAGAACCGGCTCTACCCATCTCCTACGTCTTTCATGCAGGATAATCACTTGCAACTCTTCGAATTCGTCGGGCGGATGCTTGGTAAAGCAGTGTACGAGGTAAATTGTTTTTCTATAATATCAACTAGATTGATCGTAAATATGACATATTTCTGTTTTTATTAAAAATAATAAAATTTTAAATTATTAATAAATAGATAATGATTAGAATATTTCTCGTATGAAGATAAATGTGATATATATATTTGAGGATATTATCTATTATTGTCCATTTATAATTTTATTAAATTTTGATCAGCAAAGAAAGAACAGGAAAAAAAAGATAATTTCAAACTATATTTCTCACAACGATTGATCCCTCGTCATTTTTCAGGGCATCGTCGTAGATGTGCCTTTTGCGTCATTCTTTGTCTCGCAATTTTCCGGGCAAACGGGCGGCGCGTTGTACAGCTGGCTTGACGAGCTCGCCTCGCTGGATCGCGATCTCTACCGCAGTCTGACCTTGGTGAAACATTACAAGGGCGATATCCGGCAGCTGGAATTGACGTTCTCGCTCGATGAGGACGTGCTCGGCAAACTGGTCACGCACGAGTTGATACCTGGCGGACGCACCACCGCTGTAACCAATCAGAACAAGATTCAGTACATCCATCACATGGCGCACTACAGAATGTATCATCAGATCAAGGAGCAAACGACCGCCTTCATCAAAGGATTCCGCTCGATCATTAATCCCGAGTGGCTGTCGTTGTTCTCGACGCCCGAGGTGAAGATTTAAAAGTACATTTTCATTCATTTGTAGCACAATGTATAATTGCGTTGTCGAAATTAAGCAGAGAGAATTCAACTTTATGTGCAGTTATTAATTTAAATGTAAATTAAATTTGTTTATAGTTGAATGTATAATGTTAACGATTAAATAATTATTTTTACATTATTTAAATGATTATTTGACAGAGTTAGAATTTAAACTCATGTTTCAAAAGAAATGAAAGATGCAAAGAAAGCGACAAACGAAACAAATATTGTAACATTATAATTAATATTATTGTATATATGTATATTATATTGTCCATATATATCTAATTATATACTTGAATTAATTAATCATGGCTTTACAGTTACAGAGATTGATTTCGGGCGATAATGTTCCTTTGGATTTGCGAGATTTACGAAGGCATACGCAGTACTACGGCGGATTTCACGACAGTCACAGAGTTGTATGCTGGCTGTGGGACATCTTGGAAAAGGATTTTACGGAAGAAGAAAGAGGCTTATTTTTAAAGGTTTCTCGAACATAATACCAAATATCTAATAGTTTCTCTTATTAATAATTATAATGATTTTTTTGAGAGAGATGATGTGTCTTTTATAATATTTTGATTATGCGCACTAATCATTTGTTTCTAACAATAATTATATTTATATGATAGTTCGTGACAAGTTGCTCAAAGTCGCCTTTGCTGGGTTTCGCTCATTTAGAGCCGCCTTTCTCCATACGATGCGTGGAAGTCTGCGATGATGAGGATACCGGCGACACAATTGGTACAATTATATTACAAATAATTTCGAAAAAAACTATAATTTTTTTCATAAGAATTTATAAAATCGAGAAACTGGAGAGATTTTTGCCTCTTAAATTCTTCATTTTATATTTCATGATTGAAAATATTTGATAGTCATTTATTTAGATCTTAGGAGAATAAAAGAGAAAGAGAGAGAGAGTTGCAAACTCTTTGACATAATATATTTACAGTATATAATTCTAAACATTTTAAAAGTTTTATACATACAGATTGAATAGAAATCTTTGTCAACCGTCAGTTCTGATAAAAATGAGTGATATCAAACTTTTAAATAAAAACTTTTCAAGACCATAATTTTATAGGAAAATTATCAGTCTCCAGTTTCTGGATTACATTTCAAACGTCTCTTTATGAATTTAATTTTCTTAAAATCTCACGAACCAGGCAGCGTGATCAGAGGTTTCTTCACAATTCGCAAAAAGGATCCACAGAACCGACTGCCCACCTCATCCACATGTTTTAATCTGCTTAAACTGCCAAATTATCAAAAGAAGAGCACTTTGCGAGAGAAGTTGCGCTACGCCGTCACCAGCAACACCGGTTTCGAACTCTCTTAAGTCCTACTAGTTGCGGCAACTTTACCTTTGAGATGTGGAAAAGAGACGAACGAATTTATCGAAATATCGTGCGTATTTTTGAAACGAGATGAATTTTTAGTTGACGATTGGATACACGTGAGATTCCACAAGGTTTGAAAAGTTAGCTGATATGACTGATACCTCAAAAAAGCCGATTCTGTATAAAGTGACATCGAGTGGTGCCTAAACTGCTCCCTTATCCCCATTTGAAGCATAATTTACAGACCGATTAAACGCATTGTCGATTTAAACATTGCTTTTCAGATGACGCTAATTTTAAGAAAAACGTCACTCAAAAACGTCACGATCCAAAGATGATATTGCGTTATTCGGATGGGATATCGTGAACGTGAGAAAATGTACAATATAAGAATACATAATAATGAGAGATAATTGTTAGGCGTATACATATATATTTAAATGAATTCTTGGTGAGAGCTAAGTATTTTAGGGTGAAATCTACATTCACGATGTTCGTTTTCGCGATACATATACATAGGCACACATTACCGATGCGAAATACACCGTACCTCATGAGCTTAATTATCGCTGAGATAATCGTGCGCTTGTTAATGGATAGAATCGTTGATCACTATTACATTAAGATCAGGAGTGACGGACATTTAAATTATATAGATTCCACACAAATACACATTTATCATGAATTGTTCCACTGATTAGTGGGCATTTAACTAAAAATCAAAAATTGAATCAGTAAGTAAAAAAAGAGCTTATCTATACACAGTTGTGATCTCGAAAATGTGTGATATTTTATAAAATTATAAAGTACATATTAAATTATTACTCAATCATTTATTATCACTTTTCAATTTTAATAAACTTCGAGATTTATAGAGGCACTAAAAAAAAAAGAAAGAAAAAAGAAAAAAAAAGAAAAAAAAATAGTTTTATCTAAATATATGAGTTCTCAATCGCGAGCGTGAGCACGTTTTCGAGTGAGAACGTTTCTTTTTTTATATCTACAAAAGTTTCAAAAAACTTGTCTCTTCTGCTTATTGATCCAATTGAACATATATATTTCGATGCTCATTTTCGGAAAGGTTCGCCACTCCTGCATTAATAAAGGAACTTTCCCTAAGCTAGGGGATGCTGTCCTGTCGACGAATCAACGTGTGTGCGAAACGAGTGTCCGTGAGCAATCAAAAACAGCAACTTGCAAGTTTCTACAAACTTTCCAATACGGAGAAAGAAAAAATAAGCCGAGCAGAGGAGATCGCCATCTATTTTAAAAGCTATTTTCTCAAGATTTTTGTACAGACTATTTGGCGCGGCGTGCCATCGAATCACAATTTAGCAAGTGCAATTCCCACGGGCGCTCGCGAATAAAAAATTCCGGAGTTTTTATTCCGATCGAAGGAGATTATGACAGGAATCTCATCGTACTTTGCGCGGAATAGAAATTGATAAGAGAACAAAAGGATTTTTCGAACATTGTTAAGAGATCAGAGAGAAAAAAAGAAATATGTTTTTTAAATTTTGAAATAATACATATTTTTTCTTTTATTTATCTTTTAACAATTTTATCATCTTAATAAATAAATGAGAAATAATTTTAATAAAAAAAAAACTAAACGTTAGAATTTAGTTTAAAACAGCCGAATTGTAAATTTAAAGAATAAAATTTATAACTTCATAAAAAATGTATACATTTACGATTTGAAACTTCATTCCTTTATTACATTTTTATATGTTTACTGAGACAATTGTTATCTATGAGAAATTCCAATGACAAGCTCAATTATTTAAACATTTTTATCTTGTTCAATTACAATTTAAAATAACTTGACACATTCGAGACTTTCATCATAAACGCGTGCGAGATATTCGCTGGTGTTTATAAATATCAAGAAAAAAAGAAGAGGGCACAAAAGAACTACGGTATCCTGCGTGAACAAAGCATGAAAAACAAATCTAATAATGTAACGTTGTTATTTTGTCGTGTCTTTCGGAAAAGAGAGACAAGCGTTCTTCAAATAGATTAATAGATGATAATGCGAGAGGCAGTGGCGGAGGAATTCAATGACAGACCAAAGATAAAGGCGACGTTTCGAAATGTAATCTTTGCATATTTTCCTACGTGATTCCGCGCGTGTTATAAGCCCGCGAATCTGCGCTCACACAATTGAGACACAAAGAACATACGTTATTGAATAAATTTTGAATAATTACTTTTCGAAAATTAAATTGTGTGAAATTTAATTTTGACTGATAATGTAAAGATTATTTCATTGTAATAGATACTATAATATCACTGATTTTGATCGAATGTGCAATATATAATAATATTGTAATTTTATTCTGTTATATTTATATAATATTTATTGCTTTCGAAGGAATATATACACATATATATATACACAAATTAATTAGGCCTTATTATATGTTTATGTAATATTTATATATCCATATATGCAGTGTATCTCTCATTGGTATAATACTAATGTTTATTATATTCAGTCCTAGAAATTTTGTATGGGCACAGAATTGGCGGTTGCGTATATTTATTAAACCAGAGCAGCAAATACTCCGGTTCATAGATATACTCGTTCATAGGAACAATAAAGTTAAGAAACGGCTATTAATGTGTAAGTATAGAAGCGTAAGATTGACGTATATCGAATGGGAAACTTGCGATTGTAAGACGAATTTATATCCGTCTCGCAGTAATACGTTTATGAAGTTTAATTCTTCGTTTAAAAAAGGGAAGCGATATGACGGTAGCTGTGAGGCGAGTTTCTCTTACAAATGCAAAGCGAACGAAGACGAAGGCATTGTATAAATCGCTTGCTTCGATTATACAACGGCCGTTGCATACGTTCGTTTATAATCAATGGTAAATTATTAAGATTCTATATAAGAAGATAAAGATGATGTTGTATAAGAACGAAAGAAAGAGAGAGAGAGATCCGCTAATTTCGTACGATGAAGATTGGCAACAATCGTAAAAATATATACACACGTCGCAAAAGTTGTTCGTATTGCGTTGATGTTGCATTTTTTCATTGCGTAACCTTCCCTCATCGCATGAAAAGAAATCCAGCGAAATCGAACATCAAAAAAATAAAATCGATTTGCCAAAAAAAAGTTTAAAAAATCTTATAGCTATTAAAGACGATTTAATTTTTTAAATTGACAAAAATCAATGGTATTTTATAAAAGAAAGATTATATTATTATTTATTAAATTAAATATTTCATTTAGCACCATACAAAATGCATTTGAGATAAAAAAAAAAGATTATGAATATTGCATTTTTTAATGATATACTTTTAATAACCACACAATTGTATTAATTTATATCGAGATGTATACTCTATAAGAAAAAAAAAAAAATATTTATCTAACGTTATAATATTCAATATATGATTGCAATACGAAAAGGATAGGAAAAAAAGTGATTTTATCAGCAGAGAGAAAGAGACAAGCTAGTTTACTAGTATTTTAAAATATACGATGCTTCTTTACTAATTGTCAGCAAACTAGCATGCTAATAACCAGTAAAAAGCATCGCGTAAACCACGCTTAATAAAATATCGAAGGGGTGGAGGAGATAGTACAGCTGACGGAAAGATTGAAAACGTCGCGCGCACGTGCGCGCGCGACAGGAACGGCGCGGCGCCTGTCGCGCGCCTGCGCGATGGTTCCGCTGCGCCGGTCACGTGACCGCCTTTGTGCCCGGCGCTGCGGAGATGCAGTGGCGTAGAGCGGCGCGGCCTGGCGGTCATCGGTCATCAGTGGGCAGCAAGCCTTGACTGCGAGCAGACGTGCGCATCGTCGGCGGAGCGCGGCTCGATCTCCCGTCGCGGCTACGCGAAAGACTCTCCTTTTTTTCTCCCCCCCCTTCCCTCCCTCTCTGTCTGCTGTGTATATGTGTGTGTCTCTCTCTCTCTCTCTCTTTCTCTTTCTCCCTCCCTCTCTATTTTATCCATCTCTCGCTATCGCTATCTGTCACTTCGTCTCGCGGCGTGTATCGCGCGTGTCGTCGACTCGGTGAGAACGTTTCTCTCGCGTGTGTAACCTGGTGCTCGGTGCTTCTGTCTCGCGCGTGTGTGCTTACGAGTTTTTACTCCGCGAGAAGGCGATGCCGCACGCAGTGGCAGAGTGAACAGTGACGGTAGCGGAGGCCGTACGTACGTGCGTGCGTGCGTGCGTGCGTGCGCGCGCGATACATCAAGAGAGAAAGAGAGAGAATATCGTTCCGTGTGTTCACACGTACATAACGGTGGACTCGTCGACGGAGGTGTCCGTGTGATCGCGGCACCACGTTTTCTCGTCGCCTATTCTTCGCGCGTCTCCTAGGAACAAGCGCCACTGCTCCAACCCCCGATCCCGTACCCACCCTGGGGAGCAGC